GATGGGCATTTGGACAATAATTTCTGAATGCACAAAGCGAATTGCACTTGCTGAGTTGTAATTTTAAAAAGATAATTTTAATGACTCTTGAGGGCCACCTACTTGGTGCAGACGGGACCCAGGTTCTTTGCATCACAACTTTAATGTTGAGTTAGTCAAGACAGAACTCTATTTTAGCCCTTGTAAAAGTGGATGATCATATTTATTTATATTTCAATTGAGTTTTTAATTTAGTCCACCATGAAAACGTCTTATATAACATTCTAAAAAGTTCTGTAACAAAACACATCTGCAATATCCCAAACACACTTTTGGTGGCAGTTTTGAATTTGTAACTGAGATTGAGTCAGCAGGAGTATTTACTTTTGTCGATCGTTTTACTGACTAAATGTGTGAACCGACAGCACCTTTTAGCTGACCAACATCACTAGCAAACAATAGAGATAGTACAGGTATACTTCTGTTGTCAACTAAAGAGCAGTTATTTGCACAAATATAGCTAAAGACAGTCATAGTAGAATGAAAAAGCAATTTCTTCTCTGATGATGACAAGACGACCATTCAAATGTATCTTATATGTCTTCATAACAACCATTTCCAAGAAGCAGTTTACTTCCACCTCTTGAATTTTATAGGGAACTATGTAAGTAACACAGCTCCCTCTGGGTGACAAAGATAAGCAATTGTAGTGTCTATAATGCATTTTACTAGTTTGTAAACAAATAAAATAAAAGGAAAATGTGGCAGTTTTTAACATGTAACTAATCTGCAGCATTCCTGATGTTAAAAGGGCTTGGCCAAATTATTTTTGTAAACCTTTACCAGTTGCCAATGATGCTTTACAGACAAATTGCAGCAGAAGTTACCAGGACTGTATGGTATGGGCAAACATCATCATCTGACTATTTGGGGATAATGATGAGACTTCTCTAATTGTTCAAGACAAAGCGTTTTTCTATCAGTTACACTTCATGGTCTTTTAACTGACAACACTTTAAAGATTTCTTGCAAAAACTACTGTTCACAACTAAATGTTTATCTGCAAGATGCTTATCTTTTAGAAAAATAGTGAATTGTTAGATTCCAGACAGGTGTTTTATAACTTTCTTTAGCTGCTTGTAACAATGCAAAACCAAGTCACAGGGACCAAGATGCTTGTGACTTTTTCAAAGAGCTTCAATAGATAATAATAAAGACATGTATGGGCCAGCCCGTGGCTCACTCGGGAGAGTGTGGTGCTGATAACACCAAGGCCCCGGGTTCGGATCCCATATAGGGATGGCCGGTTCGCTCACTGGCTGAGCGTGGTGCTGACAACACCAAGTCAAGGGTTAAGATCCCCTTACCGGTCATCTTTTAAAAAAATAAATTAAAAAAAAAAAAAATAAAGACATGTAAATGCAAACAACCTAAAAGGATTACTCATACAGAATAAATATTAAATTTGCCTGGTAGATCTAGAGAGTATGTTATGTTGTAATTCATAATATACAGAAATAAAAATGCAAGGTAATATATTCAAAAAGAGTCCTTCTGTTTTTTTCTAACACATATGACATTTAAAAGTTTTTAAAGGCCACAGAGAAATATAATCAGCCTCATGTGGACTAAATATCCTTTCCACTGTGTATACACAGAGTGTGTGAGAAAGCAATGCAAAATCATTAGTCAAGTATGTAGGGGTGAGTGGTTTAAAATATAATCCAGAAGTATATGCTATCAAGAAAAAATAAAAATGAAACAGCTTAACTACTAAGTGCTAAAATACACCTTGAAAGTAACACCAGGAAAGCTGGGAAGAAGGACTAAAACGATCCTTTTAATCTGTTATTCGTCCATTTGTCCTTTGTAGGATTCCACAGAGTTAGAGAGAAGATATGAAATCTTTCTAGCTAATCTGAATACTGTAGGTAGTCAGTCCACATAATTCATGTCCAAATATGGATAATTTGAGGAGCCCAAATGTTCAAATTTGGACTGTTATACAAAATAAATTACCTGGCCTTACAAATATCTGCTTCAGTATGTGCTACATAGACAGAGTTTGGGAGAAAAAATGACAGTATTTCTAGATGAAAATTAAATTAGGAGAATAAAAAATATTAATATAAAACTATTTCAATTTGCAAACCAGGTGTATATACTAGAAGCCATGTTGGGAATAATGACATAAAATACAATAACAGTAGGATGCTTTTGTTTCAGATGCTGCAATGGTGTGGAAGGCACTCTGTTTTAATAGCTTTCCTAAGATAATTTGTTTTACAGGTAGTCTTGATTTTACAGCTCACCAAGAAATATATTTCTGTTGTGCGTTTTCAAATAAGAAGTACAACTTCAAAATTAATTGATATCAGGGATATTAGTATATATGGTTGCCTAAGGAATAAAATATACAGTAAAGCAAAGATAAGACACAAGCATATGCAAAAAACTCAAACTTCTGAGATTCTCACACTAAGATCTTAAGTGTGAATTAATTATTAGCAACTTAAATTACAAAGACAATGTATCACTGAAAGCTTATTTTAATTAGCCTTTACTATTATATGTATACTTTTCTTCTATCATAATAACATGATTTGATTTTGTCTGGTTTATATGCTACTGAATTTACCTAATTTCCTTTAAAAAATACTCAGTGGTGTAACATCAAATAGTCTTTTAATTACAAGTTACAAACTTCAAGCATAGTAAGTAATAATTACTCATTTGTTCACCATTATTTATAACATATTATAGTTTCCTTAAGTATAATTAGGTTACTCTCAGGATGTAACATTCTTAAATAATGCAAGTAATAGTAAGCATGCTTCAATTAAGTAAACAAATTTTTCTTCAAAGACTGTGTAAATAAACATTGTAAATATGTAATCCAATTTCCCATTGATTTATGCAGTTAATAAATGGGAGAAGTTATCCTACAAGAAAAGAAATCACCAAAAACAAAAACAAAAAGATGAAAAAAAAATTTGGTAATGAAGGGATCATTACAAATTCTAGAACTTGTTTATATATAGCCCAGCATTTTTGTTGGTCATATTTTTGTATCTTGGTTTGTATCTTGTTAATCTCTCTATCAGTGAACCCTAAAACTTGATAATACGGCAAGGCTTCTGCCCTCTCTCTGGCTGCCACTCTTAGCAGGTTCTGACTAAAGCTGTGCCAGTGCAGGTGTTAGCAATGAGATGGTCCCACCATAGACTCTAGCCATATGCCACTGGTCATGTGCTGATGGGCATGGCACAGAGGTGACCAGATAGCTATGCCAGTGAGAGCTTGGGTAATACATGATAAATTTGTTTTCAGTTTCAAGAAGCTGGTAATAAATACATGTCTGCATAATAAATGTTGAAGGATGTCAGAAGTAGAGTAGCTGGTAGCAAAAGAAAACACTTCAAGTGATACCAAATTAAAATATTCAGAGCTGCTATTCTTCATTTTCTCCATGCAGCTCTATTGCTTCTTCTCAAGGCTTATCCTTCATACAGATGGAAGAGGTAAGTTCCACACGTGGTGTTATTTAAAGGGAAGTTCCCCATAATACTCCCCTCATAGTTTTCCAGAGGACTACCATTTCCTACCTGCCATGAAATTTCCATTATTAGAGTAATTCTTTTGGGTTAGGTAAGAAAGATGGTGTCGTGCATGTGGGAAGGTGATGAACCCATCCCATTCATAAAATATGAATTAGTTGATCAGATTAGCCAGTTTATCCCTTAGAAGAATTGACAGCTGGGCGCTACTAGGTACTGAAACAAATGCCCATTTTACGGCTTTTTATAGCTTAATGTTAAAGGGTGAAAGAGACAAATGTGTTCAACAGCAACATTTAAAATGCTGGCATCGAATGTATCATTTATGTCTAAAGGGGTTTGTAGTAGGTTTATGTTTGGTATCACTAACTGTTTCACCACAATCAGGAGCAAGGATATTGTGAAAAAAGGATCCTCCATGCACTTTGCTGAAGTAAATCATTAAAAGTTGCAAAAATCTGAAAAGTGCCAAACAATCCCATGATATTCTTAACTGTCTCTATAGGTAGGAGCTATGGACTTAATCTATGTTCCACTATCCAAGGGGGGATTCTTCATCAGTTATAGTTATTGAAAAAAATTTTTATAAGCATACATAAAAATGTTTTTTTAAATTATGTTTATTATTTCTATATAGAAATGATTTGTATATCTTTACTAAATCTTCGCTTGACTGTATTCTGCTTTCAAAATAATTTTTTTCCAGAAAATATGAATGATCATTAGGAATAAAGTTAAAGAAATTTCACATACAAATTCATTTCATTAGGGAAAATGTTATTATAATGTATTAGGTTTTAAACAAATATTTCTGAACTATACTCAGTTTGATTTTTAACAAGGTTTTTTAACTTTTTATAAATTTACTAATTTATAAGATATATATATATACACATATTCTAAATAATTCCAAACAGAAAACCTCCTGTAAGGCAAGTCCCAGCACTAATTCATGATTCATTATCTAAATTTTAATTGGCACAACTCTTGAAATTCTGGGACCATATGGAAAATAATGAGTCCTAACAGGTCTAAGGTGAAAAGATAGCAGGGGGGTCAGAAAGCCAGAAAACTGTCAGTTCAGAATGCTTAGCAACAGCAACACAATTTCCCCAGAGATCTGGAACAATGTGTTCTCAATGTTTTACTAGTCTTGCTATCACATAACTAAACTGCATCTTATTTCTCATTTTGTGAGACAAAGATCAAAAGGAAAAATATAAAAACAAACCAAAAACTGGTTTCCATAGTTAAAAATGAAATTGGCTGACTGTTAATTAAAGAAAAGGCAGCAATTTAGAGTTACCATAACAACCTGATGCAACTGTTGACTGACATGGCATTCTGTTGCATTTTTATAAATAGTAGTTGATTTCCCCTCTTTCATTTCTACTAGTTTTAGTGCTTATTGGAGCTAATGGAACAACCGTGCTTTAAGACTACTTCACTCATCAAGCAGTGTACCTCTTCGCTGCTGTCACCACCATAAAAATCATCCTCCAACTGGGTGTCTCTCCTTGTCCCACTGTTATCCTCTTTTAGATCCAAAATAAATGGGCACTCCTCTGGGGACACATTCTGAGTCTTTCCATGAGGTGCTGATCGGGGTCTTGATGAGAAAGTGAAAATGTCTTTTGGAACAATATGGGTTTCCTCTACCTGTTGGTCATGTTCACTTTGCTTGCTGTCTTCTAGCCACAGGTGTGAAGTGTTGCAGGAGTCATCATCCAGAAGTAGAGACTGTCTGCTGGATGTCAAATGCTGAATGTGATCATCATTTTCAGGAAATATCCACTCATCTGACATACGGAAAAGACCAAAATTAGAGTAGTGTTCCATAAAAGTTTTATTTTAGACAGGTTAAAAATTTCTTGTTGTTGAAACACAGATTTGTTAAATAATGCAAAAGCCTAAAAAGGCAACTTATCCACCGTTTCGTAACATGCTAAACATTTAACCCACAGATCAGTGCCTACAGCTATGGGCAACTCATTTGTACTTCCTCTCCATCTGAGTTGAAACACTAGCCAGGAAATTTATAAGTCTGAAGTAATTATCACCTGTCTTGCAGCAAGTTTTTTATAGCACAATCTCATTACTTTGACATTCCAGAGAGGGAAAATCTTCCAAATTTAAAAGGGTTTGAGTTACTAATATCTCCTTTTAACTGCAAGAGGAAAGAGTACTTAGGCTTCTTTAAACAAAATATCTGGTCATTGTTCAGATTACAAATCATGAAGGAAAGGAAATCATGGAAAGGTTGACAGTCTTTTCTCTCCATGTTACAGACGAAACATGACAACTCACAGACTAAAGTGAGTAGACTTTTCAAGAAATAGTAAATTCATAGGATATATTTGTTAATCTGAGTGGTGGATTATGCTGGGTGAAAAAAAAACCTTTATGTTTAATTTTAGGAGAGAATGTTTTGACATGAAAATCTTTTTGCACATTATTTGTTTTCTTTAAAAATACTGTATACTACCACTGAAATATATTTAGTCAAAATTTTTACAAACTTCAATCTTTTATACTACATTGAGATAGATTTTATAACTCTATGATCCAGGCAAATTGGAGAGGAAGTCTTTGTAACGAATATCATTAAAAGCATGCTTACTTTCTTCTTTAGAATGACAAGAGAAAAAAGTTGATCATTTTCTCAATTTAGTCTATTTGTCCTGAAGTTTGCTTTTTTTGCTGCATTATTTCAATGGTAAAATCTTGCAAGAATATGTTCTGCAGAACCACAATGTGGACATGGAAATTTTATACCTGATTCTTGAATCCTATGATATTTATGATCACAATAAAAGTAACCAAGAAAGATTTAAGATTTGCCAACTCTAAAGCCTACACTGCAAAAGCAAAAAAAAAAAAAAAAAAAGACCTTCAATAAAAATAATATTAATGGCACAAATACAATGTTTCTCAATTGTATTTCTGTTTCTTAACTGAAGGCTACCAGGCTACCACTAAATAACATAACTTGCCTATAAAAAGGCTGATAAATGTATACTTACTCAAATATTTGCAAACTATAAAATATTTCCAAACTATAAATTCAAGAAGGGATTAATATTCAGAATATACAAGGAACTGAAACAACTTAACATTAAAAAAAATGATCCAATTAAATATGGGCAAAGGAGCTGTACAGACATCTCTCAAAGGAAGACATACAAATGGCCAACAGATACATTAAAAAAATACTCAATATCACTAATCATCAGGGAAATGCAAATCAAAACTACACTGAGATATCATCTCACCCCAGTTACACTGGCTATTATCAAAAAGATAAGAACAAATGACGGCAAAGATGCAGAGAGAGGGCAACGCTTCTACACTGTTGGTGGGACTGTAAATTAGTACAGCCATCATGGAGAACAGTATGGATGTTCCTTAAACAACTACACATAGGACTGCCATATGATCCACAGGAATCCTACTTCTGGGTATATATCGAAAGGAATGGAAATCATCATGTTGAAGAGAAACCTGCACTCCAATGTTTATTGCAGCTCTGTTTACAATAGCCAGGCTATGGAACTAACCTAAATGTCCATCTGTGGATGACTGAATAAGGAAAATGTGGTATATATGCACAATGGAATACTACTCAGCCATAAAAAGAATGAAATTCTGCCATCCACAGCAACATGGATGAGCTTGGAAAAAATTATGTTAGGTGAAACAAGCCAGGTGCAGAAAGAGAAATACTGCATGTTCTCTCTCATAAATGGGAGCTAAATAAATAAATATACAAATAAACAAGAAAGAAAGAAAGAAAAAGAAAAAACAACAATCACATTAATACATTGAACTTTTAGAAGGAGCGAACAGAACTGTGGTTAATAGAAGTGGAAATAGGTAGGGGAAAGAATTAATGAGAAATTGGTTAATGGACACAAAGAATGATTATGTATTGTAATGATGAATAAGTTAACTATCCTGATTTGACCATCACATATTGTACACAACTATTCGTAGTCAACTTTGTACCACATAAAGATGCATAATAAAATATACTTCAATAAAAAAAAAGAAAAAAGAAAATCGGTTAGGAACAAGGCTTTCATATTCTCAAGGACTGAGTCTGTAGGTATATGGCCAATGGTAGGCTGAATCTATCTCATTTGACCACCTTGACAGGAGGTGTAGATGATCCTGAATCAGTGGACCTGTGGGCTGATGAAGTGAACAGATTCACCGAGCTCTCTTATTTTGGACAGTAAACCCTTTTGTATGGTGGTAGGCATTATATGGGGTGCTTTGCAAATACGCAGGTGCTCTATAAATGCTGAAAAAGGTTACAAAAACTAATGCATTGCATTATGTCCATAGATATGTGAAGGAAATTGGAGGTAACGATATTTGGAATCTTCATTATGCAATTAACCAATTTGTATAACCTACTGCCAAACATATTATTAACTATCAAAAAGTCAAAGTAAAAGGAGTGTTTTACACCAAACAAACTCTAATTATCTCACTACCACATGCTTTTTTGGAATTTGTAGTTTTACCTCAAGTATTTCCATATCAATTGTAATGAATAATTTGGTGTGTTTTCTTAGGAAAATATGTAAATTACTGTGTAATCACAATATTGCAGCAAACAAGATAAATGCAAGAATGATCACCTAAACATCTAATTAGTTTTTCTACACAGTCAGATTTATGCTAGAGACACTAATTGCACCTAACATTTTAATGAAGGTTTCAACGTTGCATAAATAAGACTGACAAACTACAAACAATTTTCATTTATTTTCCTTTTTCTCTTGCTCAAAAACAATTTGCCTTTGTAAAAGTAGCACACACCTGCTAGGAAAGATATGTCGATGGGCTCAATGCTCTCAGCTCCAGCCATCTCCATTATAAAGAGGACTGGAGAAACGCAACAATAGATCATTTTTGGGGAGGGAGACAGTGCCATGGGACTTTCATTTGAACAGGACAACCAGTGCATTAAAACTTGAAAATAAAAATACTCTTTCATTCATTAAAGTTTGACATAAAATTGAGGTTAAAGTGGATATTTACAAAAAATTATATATTTTAGCAAATAACTGCTTCACAATTTTTCAGAATGATTGGGTTTAAAAAATATTTGGCTTATTTATATTTTATTAGTTATTAGCAAATATGGTGTAGTAAAGATGCCAACCTGTTTGATCGGGAGACTGGGGTCCTGGAGTGCCGGGGTTCAATGTTTCTGTAACTTGTTGGGACACAGTGCTGAGGACAGTTGTTTTATCTTCATTCCTGTTATTTCCTGAAGAACTGCCTTTATTGGAATAAATATTTTCCACTCTATTACATCATTTGATATGTATAAAAAGTAATTTTTGAAGAATGGTATGAATTTGGTATACTTTTCTGTTTGATTATTTAAAAGCAAATCAGAGGTACAGATATAGATCATATGCAGCTTTTTTTCAGTAGAATGTTTTAAGATGAATTCAGGTGAATTTTTGTAGAGATTCACCTTAAAATTCTTTGATTTTGCATGGGGACATTTTAGATTTAAGTTTTACAAATATGTGATTAAAAAATTCCAAAATCCGTATAATATTTATAGGGTCTTACATTTTTTCCTTGGGTTCCAAATAAATTGGAGTGTGTTCTTTTAAAATTATAATTCTTACTAAACATGACTCTTATAAACCAAGCTCTTTTCTTCAGAACCTTAAGAAAATGGATATAGTCATTACTGAAGAACCAATTTTTCTATGTACTCTCTTATAAAAATAACAATAAACCTAGCAGGCTGAATTTCAGCCAACCTAGGAACTTTACATTTTGAGTAATTATGCTAATAGATGTATACATGATACACTTTAGGCTTGATTGAGGATAGACTAATATACATGTGTATACAAATCTCTACATACATACCTCAGATCTAATATTTATAGGAATAACTATAAAAGCCACCTATGTTTGTCTAATGCTTTGCTGATTGCAAAGAGTTTAAATTTTAACCTCCGTTATATCATATTGGTGAAGAATCCAAAGGGAGAGACAGCAAATGTAAAAACATTCTGAGAAGAACCCAATTTAAAAAGAAAGGACATAAATGAAACATGAAAAATTACAATAAAGTTCAATTTTAGTAAAGTCTGCAGGCAGGAACTTCCTCTATCACATTTGGGCCATTTTTAAAAAACATTAAGTTAAGCTTATTCAGCTTTTCAGAGTAAAAGTAGGAATTCCTTTATTTCTTTGGTACTATTTAATCCAGCAAATCTCTGTTAGGGCTCTAGAGCAATTCTTTTGCAGAAAATTTGATTTCCACAATCCCTGTAGAACAGACATTTATATTTCAAATGAATTGGTTCATAATCCTTTGAAATTTACAACCTGCAGAGAGAGATTCCATTGCTCTGAATAATATACAGATATAAGATAGTATTGAAATAGTGCCATACCGCTGGGTGTCTCTGTCCTTTCTCTGCTGGTGCTTTTTAACCGTAATCTTCTTCTGTTATTATTCTTATCTGCTGATGCTTCTTGAGGGGGATGTGGATGCATAATATGTAGATTGGCTGGTACTTTTTCATATGAAAGAACAAAAACCAGATCAGAAAGTATCGTATGGCTTGAAGTAACTCAGTAAATATAATTATCACTATAATGAGAATATTCATGTATCATTTTGACATAATGTGACGCTGTATCAAAAATACAACTTATTCCTTCCTAGGAAATAGGGGTTTATTCCTATTCCGATATTAGAATAATAGCAGGCTTTCAAAATTACTGATACGTTTTACTTATGTAATATAACCTTATAGGGAGCCACAAGTAATTTGATTAATATTAATCTTACAACGGAACGGGCCGGCCCGGTGGCGCACTGCTATAGTGCGCCGCTTGGGAAGCGCGGCGGCACTCCCGCCGAGGGTTCGGATCCCACATACAGACCGGTTCCCGCTCACTGGCTGAGCGAGGCGCGGGAGCATCACCAAGGGCTGCGATCCCGTTGCCGGTCCCGGTTACAGCGTAGGTGCCATGTGATCTGAACTACTCCCTCTCTCCTCAGCACTTATTAAAAATGCAAATACAGTGGTTCAGTATCAGATCTGTCAGATCTACAGAATTAGAATATTGAGGGAGGGGCCAGAATAATTTTAACAAGTTCCCCCAAGTAATTTTTACACTCACCGTCATTTGAGAACCAGCACCACAAATGTTTTTCTTAAAAAAATAAAAAAGAAAAGAATGAAAAGCTATTAAAAATATATATCTTATGAAAAAAAAATTAATCTTACAAGATGTTATATTAACAAATATAAAAAATGAAACTGTCAGCCAATACAGAAAAATTACTTCTTCCTTTAGAAGAGTAAGTTAGCTAAATATACTTTCAACAAAAGTTTACAGAGTAGTTTCCAAAAGAACTTTGGAGAACTGACGTCAAACTTGGAGAATTCTTAAGTGTAATTTAATTTTGTAATAATAATATTCATAGCAGCATTTAACATGTACTGAATGCTCAATTTCTTGGCACAATATGGTACACTTAACTGGTTTTTCTCATTGAATCTGTACAAAGACTCCTTGAGGCAGCTGACCTTTATTATTACTACTGGTGCTAATAGCAATGGTATTCTCATTCTACAGAGGAGGAAACTGAGGCTCACTGGGTTTAAGAAACTTGATCAAGGGCTCACAAATAGTCAGTGGTAGAGCTAAGACTCGATATCTATGTTATTCATTTCCTAATCTCTGTTTTTATACTCCATGGGTGTTATTGTCTGTAATAGAGATCATTGATTCCAAAATCAAATCAAATGAACTCAAATGCCCCCTTTTTCAACTCTCACTAAAGTTAGACCAGTAAGTGTGAAAAAAGTGACAGGGATTTCTAAGTCTTGGGTTCTGGTCTCAATTCTTTCTAATGATTACAAACCACAAATAACTTCACTTGAAAAACGGGACAAAAGTCCTTTCTTCACTCACAGGGTTGTTTTGGTATCAATAAGAGAAAATAAAGAGCACTTTCCAAATGGAAGACATTAATTGAAAGATCAAATTAAGTTACAAAAACTTAAAATGCACACGAAGTTTCCAAAATGTAACAATAATGGTATGCTATTTTATTTCTGTATCAGTTATTATAAAGTAAAAACACAGGGTACTATAGCAGTTTGAGAAAACAGAGGAAATAGAATGAGAGGCTCCAGAAGATAGTATATGTATTAAGAATTCTAAATATATTTCGACATCCACCAACCTTTTTGTTATTAAATGATAATTCTCTGAACTTAAGATCTAGTCACGAATATAACTTCTGATTTATCTTAACAAGAACATTTCTCACTATTTTCACTAGCTAGCAGTCTTTACGCATGGTTCTTTCTTACCATGAATAGGAAGAGTCTGTTTTATTTGGTGAATATTTTCTTTATCTCCTTGCTCCTCAGACTCAGGTATCAGCAAGGTTGACATTTCTGCATTGTCAACACACTTCTCTACGGTGGGCTGCTGGCACAGTCGGTTATTTTTAGACCCAACAGATCTTATTGTCTATAAGAAAAAGAAATTAATCTGTACATTTAAAAATATAGAAATTACATTTATTTTCTGTAGAATTTACACAGGAAAAATAATATTTGGACAAATAAAGAGTGAGAAAAATCTAGAGGAAATGAGAAAGTTAAAAAGTGATGAAAAAAATTAATGTAAAAAATTAAAGAGGGGAGAAGAAAAATAATGTGGGATAAAATAGAAGATAAACAAATCTTCTAGACACATAAATTAAAATGTGCTTATTATTTGCTACCTATCTTTAGTAGGTAGGAGTTGAATTAAAAATCATTGTATATTTCAGAAATTCAGAGGAAATTAAAAACAAAAAACAAAACATTGGAGAATCTGTTCATTGTAAGGTGGCTGATAATGATCCAACTCCTTTTCTGAAGGAGACAGCAAAATGTGCTAACATATATTTGCCTATAAGTTTTGTGAACATATTTAATGAAAAGAATACTTGAAAATGCTAATTATGTTGACATGACAAAAAGGAAACAGTTTTAACATCTTTTAAAATCCAGAATTTCTGTTCCAAATTTATTCAAGCCTTCTGCTTTTCGTGTGGAGTCTCTCTCTCTCTCTCTCTCTCTCTCTCTCTCTCTCCACTGCTTGGGGAAGAAACCCTTCCCTTCCTGTGCCACTCTTGTTTAGATAAACTCTTCAAACTTTGCTCCTACCTCACTGGATATCCTCATGTTATTCCTTCTGCCAGAGAGTGGAGGTGGTCCAGGAACTTTGGATCCAAAGGCGATATGACAAACATCATGATTTTTACTGTTCCGCACACTACCTGTTCCTCTGTTAAGGAACTGATCTGTTTTGTTAGAGGAAGGTAACAATAAGTCCATTAATGGCTGTAATGACAAACACCATGCAGCAATATTTTTGAAAGTACAGCGTAGGTGCCATGTGATCTGAACTACTCCCTCTCTCCTCAGCACTTATTAAAAATGCAAATACAGTGGTTCAGTATCAGATCTGTCAGATCTACAGAATTAGAATATTGAGGGAGGGGCCAGAATAATTTTAACAAGTTCCCCCAAGTAATTTTTACACTCACCGTCATTTGAGAACCAGCACCACAAATGTTTTTCTTAAAAAAATAAAAAAGAAAAGAATGAAAAGCTATTAAAAATATATATCTTATTTTCTTTTTGAGGAAAGAATTTAAGTAAAATTATTCAATTCAACTGAACAAATATTTAACTGAGTTCTCTCCCAGGCTTTTCCTAGAGGTTGTCAGTGACATGAAACGGGGAAGACATATTACTCGCTCTCAGGGAGCCTGGAGGGAAGTGATAAGGCAAGTAAACAGGTCACTAACGTAAGGCAGTCCGGTGGGAATGAAGAGTAAGTGACCTCTTAAATGGACTTTGAATGACTGATTTTGAGAATAAGAGATGTAGAATAGCCTAGGCAGAAGAAAGTGCCTGAGTAAAGACATGGAAGAAGAAAAGAGGAGGGTATGCTTGGGGAGTAATGGTGACCAGTTTAGCTGGGAGGAGAGGCTAGGGTCATACTGAAAAGAGCCTTAAAATGTGAACAACCTACTCCAAATTTGGTAGGCCACAGGGAATCCCTGAAGGTTTTAGGGAGAAAGAGAGTAAACCGGTGTCACCTCTGGGACAGGGCAGTTGTGCTCACCAAATCTTGCTGCCTTTCATTCTGGGCACAAAGCTAAATCACATTTGAGTCTCCCCTGCAGTTATATGGGCCATGTGACTGAGTTCCAGCTAAAGGAACGTGAGAAGTGTAAGCCGCCCCAGGCCCCCAAACCTGCATAATCCCCTGTGCTTTCTTCCCTCATCTCTTGGCAAGATGCAGAAGATCTTGTGGAGGACTTTAAGGCCCCCAGGGGAGCCATTAAATGAAAGGTCTCTGAATGACCACATGGACTGCCGAAGGAACTCCTGACTGCCGACTGACTGAGGTGTTGTGACTGCAGTTAGACTCCTGACTAATAGAGCAGGGGAGGTAATGACCCTTAACTCAGAACACTGCCCGCTACCTAGGAAGCCTTTTGCTGTGCCCCACTTGTAATCAGGACCAAACTGAATGTTATGATGATGGCCCCGAGTAAGTCCACATTTACCATCCAGTCCTGGACATATATGAGCTACTGGCTACTTCCTGTCTGACCTGCTTCCCTGAAAAAATTCCTATAGCTAGCTAGTTGGTTTCATTAGCTTCTGCTATAGGTGGGATTAAAAACCATTCTCATGCAACAGCATAAGAAAAGGCACACATATTTATGAAAACATACCATACTCATGAAGCTCCAAATATTTAGGTCTGAGTGGAAGTAATGTGTGTGGACATATGTGTGCTTTGGGGGTCTGTTTTTGTGTTTGTAATAGGTAAAGCTGAAGAGATGGGCAGGGGCTGGATTGCTGAATTGAACTAAAAGAATTTTTGCTGGACAGAAGAACTGAGGTGGATGGTGAAGTGGTGAGGAGGTATATACTATGCTAGTTTTCTTCAAATTCCTGAAACCCTATTAGGGAGAAGAGAGAATCCATTTGTCCAAAGGAAAGAATCAGAACTAATGAGTAGAATTTACTTTGGGAAGCTTTTAGTCCGATATAAGGAACATCTTTCTCCACATCTGGCTGTTGAGGTGGTTGGTGAATTTTGTCATTGTGAAAGTGCTAAGCAGAAGTCTGGATAGCTATTCTGGAAATTGTAAGGCAGATTCAGACATCAGATGACTCCCTAACTTATATCTCTAACCTAATCCTCTCAAGCTTCACTCCTTATATTCAGTAGCCTTCTTGACCAGCTTCTCTTTAATGTCTTAAAGACACTTTGAACTGAAAACTAGGTCTAATGAATGGCACCACAGTCCATCCAGTTTGAAAAGTCAGAACTGAGGTATCATGCTTGACACCTTCCTCCATCCTCTCCATATCCAATTTGTGTCCACTTCTCCATGTCTCCTCCACCAGCACTGACATCTAAATAACCACTCTCCCTCTCCTGGACGGCCACAAAGCCACTCTGGTGCCCTGCCCCATTCCTCTTCCAAAATGCAGCCAGTCAGGTCTTCTACAAACATAAATCTGATTGAATCATTTCCCTTCCTTCACTTAAAGCTCTTCAGTGGCTTCCCTGCTTTATATCTTGCACCCCTTATTTTCTGCTCTCTCAACAGACCGGCCTTTTTGGTTCTGGTAGGCTCTGCCTACCAGAGCATACATATATGCTGTTCTCCATCGCTAGAGGTTCTCCCTTTCCCTCTTGGCCCTTATGTTTCAGCTCATGTGTCACGTCCACAGAGAAGTCTTCCTAGACCATCCTGATTAGGGGTAAGTTCCCCCAATATAGGCACTTCCATAAACCCTCCCTCACAGAACTTGTCACAGTTGCACTTTCACATGTATCTGTGGAATTCTCTGATTAATGTGTGCTTTAGTAGGTATAAACTCAGAGGCCTGTTTTTGTCACCCTGAACTGGCAACAATTAGCTCAGTGCTTGACACAGAGTAGGCACATAATAGATTCTTGTTGAGCAAAATGAATCATTAAATGAAACGAGTCAGATGGGAAACTGGATTAAATGACAGATATTTCTAAGATTAGAATTTCATTTTAAGAAAAATCCACCTGGAGGTTTTATGGGTGAATCGAGGAGGAAGACTGGACAGGACTGGACAACTCCGGGATGGGGCGATGAGACAGAAGGGTCAACAAGCACAAGACATTGATGTTTACAGGAATGGTGAGGTTCTCAACAGCCACAGTGCTATGCCACCACAATGGGATACCTATTTAGGTTACATTTGAAATTTACTAGGGTTATCAAATAGACCTGGCTATCTGTGCATCTGTATTTTTTCCCAACTGATGGAGTTTGGATGTGTTGTCCCCTCCAAAACTCATGTAGAAATTTGATCTCCAATGTGGCAGTGCTGAAAACTGATTGAGTCATGGGGACGGATTCCTCATGAATGGATAATGCTCTCCCTGGGGGAAGGGAGATTAATGAGTGAGTTCTTGCTCTATTAGTTCCCGCAAGAGCTTGTTGCTTAAAAAAACCCTGGCACCTTCTCTCTCTTGCTTCCTCTCTCTTGCTTGCTCTCGCCATGTGATCTGCTTGTACCCGCTGGCTGCTTGCCACTTTTCAGCCATGAGTAGAAGCAGCCTGAGGCCCATGCCAGATGCAACCATCCCAGAATCGTAAGCCAAATAAACCTCTTTTCTTTATAAATTGCCCAGTCTCAGGTATTTCTGTTATAGCAACACAAAACGGACTAATACATCAACCATTCATAAATATCCATTTGGAGTTAATTATTAGTCTCTCAGGATTGATAATAGAAAGAAATGATACTCAAATTCCAAGCCAACTTGAAAAACCTATTATAGACATCATTTATACCCTTTTTTGACCAAGTAGAACAAATTCTAGATTATTTGTTTTGTTTTCAAATGTGGATTTTCCCAGAAAGAAATGGACGCTGAGGGTACTGAAGGGCAGTATGGGTTACTGCATTGGCCTACTTGGGAATTCTGTACCAGCATAGGAGCCTTTTCTTTGTTCCCTTCCAGTCCTGGGAACTATCTGGCTTTGTGCCTATCTTTCTGTTCAAACATCTTACAAGGACAATTTCCTTGATGTCTTTTCATATTCCCTATCTATTCACAGGTTCCCCCCAATCAATTTAAGTTCTTTTGAGTAGAAAGACCATTTATTTGGTACTGTATGTACTCCCATCTGCGGAGCCCAACTTAGCACGTACTAGACAATAAATCTCACCAAAATTGTGGATAATATCGAAGATTAAAAAGAGGACTTTTGAGGGGAGGGAATATTTTAGAAATCATACTGATACAGTTCCAGCTATAATTTTGGTTAAAATAAACCTATTAAATAGTTCATAGTTATTAATAAAATTAAAATTCCTAAACATCTTGAATTTCTTAGAAGAATCTCTTGCTTAGCAGTAGACATTCAGTAACTATTAAGGATATACCTAAACCTGATATTCTATAATCTCCTAAATCACAGAAAATTAGATGTTATTCTATATTTTATAAGAGGGTCTACTATAGGATTTCTTTAAAGAGTAAAGAGTAATCTACCAGAGTGTATTTAAATTTAAATCTGCTTTTAAAAATTACATATTTTGGTATACTTTTTTTTTCACAAACTACACCAATACTCCACTATTTAGTATCTCTTTAATTAATAGACCTCTTTAAACTTATTACAATTAACACACCAATTCTTAAAGCCTATTTCACTTTAATAATTCTGTTTATAATCATGTTAGTTGTCATAATTATCTCTATAAACATGTATTATGCTGTATATATATTCTAATAGGGTCCTAATTAAAATCTAAAAGGAGAAGTAATTTAGACCTTTGGTTTCTAAAGTAAAAAGTAGAAGGAATAAAGTTTCTATAGTGAGAAAAATCTTAATAAAAGAAAACCAGAAGCAGAAACACATGCCTTCTGAATTCTAAAAGGAGTTCTTTTAAGAGCTGATATCAGTATGCATAATATAAGGCTAAAAATCAAGATTAGATTAAAGTCATGCTCTAGGCATTTCATTTTCTTCAGTTTGTGGAAAATGAACTTGGTGTAGGTCAGAGATGTTACCATTAATTATTTTGCCATTTTACTGAGAGGTACAAGCCTTTGTAGTTAGGCATGTAAAACCAGAGGGTCTACTCTCTAATTGTCTTTTAGAAAAATAAACATTCATTTTTGTCTCAAGATACAATGTTCTAATTATTATATTCATTTAAGTTTGCAGGGTTTTTAAAGCTTAACAAGAAAAACCTGCTGAATTTTCAACTCTAATCACTT